AAGCTTCCCCTTCCCCCACTACCAAAAACACCCTCCCCCCATCCCCCCAACCCCAATACACATGTGTGGTGGGGAAAGTAGAAATCTCCATTTTAATTGTTATTCTCAAGCATTCACGCACTTGACAACATGTTACGTTTTCTTCTGTTTCAAATCACAGTGTTTCACTTTATATCTACCATTCCCATGGTTGTGGGATAGAAGTACAATTATTTTATTTTTACAGAGGAAGAAGTTGAACCCAGCAGGTGTTGTAGGACTCTGGTAGCTGTCATTACAAGTAGTTCATCCTCCCAGAGGAAAAAGAGCTCAGTGAGAATCACCGTGATTACATAGTGGCACAGAGTAGATACTGGCAGAATTGGCAAGCAAGTGTAAAAAGCCTCATCATGATTTACAGGCGTTTTGCATCCAACAGCTTGACATTAAATAAGTATTTCTAAATAATTTTCAGAAGTTCTGTGAATTGTTTCTGATGGCATATTTTTTTTTTTCCTTGGGACAGCTTCATTGACTGGAATGCAGCTTGTGACAGCCAGTTTTCCAACATGTATTGTCCACTAGAGATGAATGAATATGGTGCTTTTCCAGAGGGTAAGATGAAATAAAGCTTATGAATTATCACTGAGTGTGGTTTTTTTCTCTCACCTTTTGTAGAACAGAAGGCTGAGCTTGTCTATAAACATCTGGGCATTCATTGCTTAAGCAGATTTTACAGTTTCCAGCTGACTGAATGCTCTGTGGTAATAAACAATGTCTTCATGTGGCGAATGAGAAGACTGGTGCTCGTATGGAGTTATTAAGCCTGAAAAACCAGTATACAGGATTCTCTCTGAGAGGGAATAGAGAGAAATGCTCATGACCACAGTATTACACAAATCTTTTTGCACAATTTTCTTTGTTTCCCCTCTGGCAGGCTTCTGCCTTCCAGTGTGTGAAACAGAAGGCCTCTTGTGACCAATTACCTTTCCAGACTAGAGTTTCTTGGCTTGGGAAGCACACTGGCAGCAACCTAGAATTCTTTAGCATTACCTAAGCAATAATTAAAGGTCAGGCTACAGTATCACAGGCAGCACGGTGGTCCCTTGGGTGCTTAGTGCTGAGGCATGTTGGCAGTGAAGCCTGGGTAGGCTCTGCCATGCACGTTCTGTGGCTAATAAAGACTCTTTTCTCCAGTAGGGAGATTGCCAACTCTTTATCCTGTCCTCCTGATAGCAATTTGTTAGTGAGCCCCTAATACAGAGTAGTAGTCTTGTTAACAGAAATTGTTATGCTTTGCTGCTGTGCTGCCCTGAAGGTGCCTGAAGTCACTGAACGCTTAGGTTGGTTCCAGCCTGGCTCACTCCTAGAAGATTAAGTGTTCCTCCATGGAAATGTTAGTAGTGTTTATATTGCAAAAGCCTTATTTTGTCTTCCTGTTTTTATAAACTGCAGAAAACATGAACTACCCCAGTGGCTTCCCTGGTACTGCAGCAGTGCAAAATACAGCCTTCATTGACCAGAACTGTCCCTCCACCTGGAACGCACCTCCCAACATGCCACCGACCTGGGAGCCTGCCAGTTACATCAACTCCACAGTGAGTATTGTCACTGTGAGGTGCTGCCTTCATGTGCCTCTTCAAAGCCTTCCCAGTGCATTCCTGTCTTTCCCCTACCTGTTGCTTGCCTGTTCTTTGTGAATCCTTCAAGTGGCCTGATGTATATATTTGATGCTGGCATTGGTAGCATGGCTTTTTCCCAGTTGTTGGTCAAGACTGTTACTGGACCTTGTCTGTGAAATTTTAAGACAGATCCTTTTCCCTGAAAATTGATTAAAATCATCTTACATATGGAAAAATGTTCTGGACTTACATAGTCTACTGAGACTTTTTCCTATCAAAATCAACCTTTCCAGATGAGAGTAAAACACAAAAAGTGCTGACAGCAAAACCCAAAGAGATTTGGAAATTGTAGAGCTGAACGGACAGCTGCTCTCAGTGACTTTGACAGATTTTTTTGCCAGGAAATCTAAGTGATTTAAGGTGGATTTGTGCAGATTTCTGAATGCTGACTTTGACCTGTTAGGCTCTAGACTAGCCACGTTTATGTCGTCCCATAGTGCAATGTAGTGACTTCAGTTCAAGGTAATCTTCAATTGTAACCACCTTCTCTTCTGCTCACATTTCAAAACCTTCTACTTTAGAATTTTATTTTTTTTATTTACAGTAGGTTTGTTTTGAATAAAACTAACCAAATAAAGCAAGAAATATTTCCAACTGCAAAAGTGAAAATTCTACTGTGTTAAAAAGTGGCAAAACTGATAGAAGACTGTTTCCTAAAATAAACGTGGCTTTTTTTTTTTTTTTTTCATATTTTATTCAGTAATGCCAGGAAACACAGAAGGTAGAGATTGGAAAATACATTAGATAATTCAGTTCATTTCCCTGGCGAGCTTTTCCCCACAATACGTTTCAGTGTTTCATTCAGTTTTAAAAGTCCCAAGACTTCCATGACCTTCTCTGAGAGACTTCCTCACAGACTAACACATCTTGCCCTCCAGGAGGTTCTTTATAAGCTTTCAAAATTTTCTAACTCAAGTCCCTGGCTCCCAATTATAGTCTCTTTTCCATCCTGAATATGCCCCCCTGCTCCCCATGTGCATAGTCTTTCAGTACTGACACATCAGCCTTTTTCTTGTCATTTCTTAGGCGTCCATCTTCACGTGCCTTCCATTTCTCCCTTACTTTTCTTAACTGCCTGACCAGAACTGAATATTGTGTTCCTGTTACAGCAATATCGATGCCGTGCAGGGAGGAGCTCATATGGCTTCATTCAGCCAAGTGCCTTTGCACACACACACTAACGCGGCTGTACTATTTTTGGCAGCCATATTGCTTTGTAAATGCGTGTGCAATTTTCTACTTGTGTGTTTGCTCTGCATAAATGCTGCTTCCTCCCATTTAGTACTATATTTCCACATTTTCTTTGGCAAATGATCCATTTTGCAATTCCCCATGCTGATTGTATCTTGCCCTACAGCCCTACCTCTCAAGCACCCGAAGCTTGTCTCCTATGTCTGGACTTTTTGGTTCCATCTGGGCACCTCAGAGTGATGTTTATGAAAGCTGCTGCCCCATCAGTGCCACGACCCAACACTCAACCCATGTGGAGAACCAGGCAGTTATGTGTAAGCAGGAATACTATCCAAGGTTTAACCCCTTCCGTGCCTACATGAACTTGGACATATGGACTACAGCAGCCAATCGGAATGCAAATTTCCCACTTTCGAGGGACTCGGGTTACTGTGGAAATGTGTGAAAGGAATTTGATTTAAAAATGTGAATAAAGTTGCTTGCAATTTTGATTACTAGAGTAAGCTGGTTGTTGAATAGATGACAATGTTGGTGGATATTTTGGCACTTTTATATTGAAAATAAATTTTTTTTTTACTGAAGTCTGAGCATTCAGTGCATTTTAAAAAGCAGAGCGTAATCAGGATGCTGTTATTGTCAGGTGAATGCTATAAATCTAAAATTCAATTTTTTTTTTTTTTTTTTCAAGAATAAGGACAGTATTGGGTTCTTAAAAGCATCCGTGAACCTGTACTGCACATCTGAAGTTTACATTCTGTGGTATAAAGCAGGAGTGGTTTAGCATTTGTAGACAGAAACTTACACCCATAAATAATATCATCTGTACCGAATGGTAACACTGGGCACCTACCTGTTGATGCAGATCAGAGATTTTCCAAGTGGTGCCACTTCTACTGCTGACATAGTTATTTGTGGGTGTAAACTTCTGGCAATAGAAAAAAGGCTGAATTGTGGCTTGTTTATCTGGCTTCAGAATGCAAGCTGTCACTTGGTCGGTGTTACGCCTGTGCAGTGTGGGTGAGTGGGCATTTCTTTCAGGAGCCTTTCTTGCAAGTGACTCCTGACATTTTGTGTTTATATTTTTAGCCTTCATGTTGCAATAGCATTTTCAGTGCATTTAATTGCCCTTGTTTAAAATGCCAAAGCTTTAACTGGAACAAATATTTCTTTGAGAGTAGAGTTCACACCACTCTCTAAAACAGAACAGCCTTGTGTTAGCTCGTGTTATGAGACTGAATCTTTGCAGTGGGAAAAGCAACCAGGGAAGTGTTGCCACCTAGTTTGGGACTGGATCTTTCCTTCGTGTAAGCTGTCTTTGCTGACCATTCCTGTAGAGCCCTTTGTTCTGGCATGGCAGAGCGTGTCTGGGCATTCACTCTCAGGTGGCAGGAAAAGGGGAAGGCATCCTTTAGATTCAGAGATGTCCTTGACAAGGGAATTTGTTAAGCCTGGAGAAACAGTAAAGAGGGATCCAGTAGCAGCCTTGTACAGCTGCTTGAAGGAGAACCATAAAGATGGCAGAACCAAAGTGGCTGCAGGCATTACAGCAAGTGACAGTGGTCACAGGTTGCCACATGGGAGGTTCAGGTTGAACATGAGTGACTTCCCTTGAGGGTGGTGCTGCAGGAGAATGGGTTGCCCCAAGGGGTGGACTGATCTCTGTGCTTGGAGATGTTCATGACGTGGCTGAACGAACCTGGACGTGACCTGCTCCAGTGGTGGTGGCAGTCCTGTGCTTTGTGGGATGTCGGACTAGAGACCACCAGGGTCCAGTCACCGTTTTGAGGATTCTGTGAACTTGAGCAAGTTCCTTACTTTTTGCTACTTTGTTTTATGTTTGCCTTTTAAACTCAGACTGACTGGAAGACAAGAACTTTGACAACAAAATGTTGAGGCTTTCACATTTGTTTTTATTTGAAGGTGGAGCAGAAAAGGCACTGCAAAATAGCTGACAACCTTTGTGCAAGGCTACTCAGCAGTCTGAGCTCCCAGACTTAAATTCTGGCCCTGCCAGTCTCACCACATTGCTGGGCTTTAGGACAGCTATTGGGCAGCTAAACTTGCTGATTTCAGCCAGAAATGCCATCCCAGATTTTGAAATGTTACACCAGAAACAGCACATTTCTGCAAAAAGTTTATTTCAGTAAATCAACAGTTCTTGCAAATAAAGCTTTCTTGAAAGGTACCCTGCCAGCTACGCTTTCCCGTGTGTTTTGAGTTAGCTCAGAAAGAGAGAGCAGCTGGGCGGGATAGTGAAAAGCTGCTACATTTACCATTTACCTACTTTAACTGGTCATGGGGAAGGTGCTCCTAAGCCTTCCTTTGGAAAAATGGGATCATCACTGACTGCTTTTCAAAACCATGGTGTGTTAATGACTTCAGCGGGAACTAGTGCCTGGAATCTTTGGTGCTTTCCATGATGCGTCGTACTGGGTAGAAATCTGTTTGACTCTGGAGTTTGATTGTAATTGTTTGTGATTCTGAAGGAAAGTTCAAATGTTCATATGAACTTTGATGGTCTTGAAACCAGTACTGAGCCATGAGGAGTAGTCTTAACCACTGACATGCTTTCTGTGCACCTCTTGCCTATGGCAGGAGACTTCGGGAGGAATAAGAGTGGGAGCGTGAACACAATAAATATGGAGAGAAAAAAAAAGATCAATTGGTTTGAAATGCAATGAAGTTCTTTATTCCCTGGATGATGTTGGCTGTTGTATAGCGTGTTCATTGAATTTTTGATGTGCAAAGAGTGCAAGATCATTTTATTATATCTGCAACAAACTGTAACAACAACAACAAAACCCCACAGAATTCTGATCTACACAGAGTCCCTGTTGTAAGTAACGTCTATGTTCCAGACAGAATAAATCACTGAAAAAGAGAGGAAAAACCGTACAATAAACCAAGCAAGGACACTGGAGAGTTTGGGGAGAGCAAGAAAAGTTAAAATGTTTGGAAAAGAAGACCCCTGTGAAAAAGTTGGTCATAGTTGTTAAAGTGCCAGCAAAAGATGAGGGAAATGAGCCACAAACAACTTGAGAAATATTGCTAAGAAAGAAAACAGTAATACTCTTTAATCAAACCAGAATAGATCAAGAAGTAATTCCCCCGGGAGCTGTGTAGTATTAGGCAAAGTATTTAATATAACTTTTCATAACAATAACTAAGGAATGTAACAAGCTCATTAAGGTTACCAGGAATAATTGCTGCCATCAGGAGACATCTGTAGCTTAATTAACAATCCACTGAATACAAGTGGATTTGTGATCAGTTAAAAATCATTCCTCCACAGTAAAGGGGAAGATGAAATAAATAGTCCCACTACAAATTTCTTTGTACCAAAATGACTGTAATTCTGCTAGAGTGAAACTGGAGAGGTTGCTCTAAAGGCATCTCATTGTTGTGAGCTGAATAATTCCTAATTTCTTGCCTTGTGCCAGGAATTCTTTATAGCAGGATCAAGAGCTTCACACATCTCTGAAACTGATACTGTTTTTTTTGAGAACTTCAGCAAAAGGACTTGTCAGCCCAAGAAATGCTTAATAAAAGCAAAATGCCTTGCACAGTTCACTAGCAGGGCTGGTTATGGGGGAGGGGGAAGTCATGAGGAGTTTCAGGCTTTCAGTGTGGATTTCTATCAATGAAAATGCTACGGAACCTCGGGACATTCAGTATTTTCTTGAAAAGAGACCTGGGAGAAGTGACGGCCCCCTCTGCCTCCTGCTCACAGCGGGTTTGTGGCTTCTTAGATGCGCATTGTGAACCGGGGATACCAAGTTATTGCTGTCCTTGGACAGGACACACAGGACATCTTGGCCAAGCCTGCCTGGTTTGTCTGGAATTCCCATCCTGGAGCCAGGGAATATTCCTGGCACGTTTTGTGAATGTTAATGAGGACTATGAGAGACAGCATTTGGACAAAACCAGCATCTGCTGCAGGGGCGTTCAGGTGCCGCAGCCTTGCCAGACTGCAGCGAGCCCCTCACAGCGTTAAGGAAGCTAAGGAAGAGGAGCATCCAACGCAACTTCTCGGTAGTAGAGGGCAGTGCTCTGCTGGGACCCTGTATCTTGGTAAGTGGGGCTGGTAGGGTGCTGAGCTTGCTTATACTGGGAGGGATTTGGACTGCCCAGCAGTCTGGCTACCATTGGTCTAGCCTGGGAGCTGGGTTTGAACTGCTTGAGAGCAACAGACTGGCCAGACTGAGCTGCGGATATCATGTGCAGGGTTCAAAGCAGGTGGGTGACTGTATGAGTCCCTGAAGGCAGGCTCACCCAGAGAGCACGGTTGTCACTTGCTCTTGTGGTTTTGTCATGAGCACGGTGACAATTGTTGGGTCTGTCCTACACCTCCTGCAGATGGACCTGGGCGTGCAGGACTGTGCCAGCTGCCCGAGGCAACAACCAGCAAACAGCTTCCTGTTGCTCTTGCAGAAATGAGCTGGAAAATTCTGAGGGCAGATGAGAAATCTGATTGCCAGAGGGCAAATGAGCTCGTTAAAGAGAATGTTAACTAGCTTAATCTATCTGCTGAAGAGGCGGGAGGGGAGGAAGCAGGGGAGGTGCTCACCACCTGCACAGAGGCTTCCAGTGCCTTCAGTTCCAGCACCCAGCGTCTCTCTGCCTTGGGAGAAGCCTGGGTGCTGCCTGGGAAGCTGCAGCCTGGGGGGCATGGCAGGTTTCTGCAGAGCCAGCACCGCCATCCTGCTAAGTGAGCTCTTGGTCCGAATTTACAGTGGTAGGTTGGGCGTTGCTTTCCAGCATTTGCTTTCTTCCCTTCCAGCTTCAGGGAACACCTGTTTATTTTTCTTAGTCATCAAGTCACTTCCATCTTCTTTTGCCCTCTCCATGTATTTTCTTTGTTTTCAGCAATTCATGGAAGAGCTGCGCGGCAGCACCTCCCCATCACCACGGGCACGTTTTAGTTGTACCTTTGATTCCTCTGCCCCATCTCACTGTTCAGTCTCTCTGTCCACTTCTGTGGGGGAAATGGCTCAGGGCAGGGTTTATGGCAACCTCTTCTGCAGCACCACTAGGGGGGCTGAGGTTCACTGTCCCCCCAGGGCTGCTGGGCTGCCATGGCTGTCCTCCCTCCCAGTGGCAACGCCACGCTTACCCGGCCTTTCTGACAGGCGGGAGGCTGGCAGAGGTAGATGTCCCAGCTGGAGAAGGAGGTTCCTGGCATTGGTGGGGGCAGTTGCCCAGTCCTGCACTGGAGGAGGCTCTGCTGGGCGAGACCCAGTGATGCTGCCCATCTCCATGAGCTGGGGGCCATGGAGTAGTGGGAGGCAGTGGGTGATCTGTTCTCGGCCCCATCATGGGCGAGTGACAGGAGCAGAGCAGGGGTGGATTTATTGTCCCAACCCTACAAGGCGGTGTTGCAACTGAGGTCCTGGGAGCTCTCACCCACCTCTGCAGCTCATCACTAGTGCACCGACACAGGAGCTCCCCTGCTGCTGAAAGCTGAATGTTACTGCTCCTCCCTCCATCTCTGGAGTGGGTTTTCCTGCAAAAGCCGCCTGTCCATGTCTGACAAAAACACCTCCTTTGTTGCTCTGGGTTGCTCACCATGCAGCTGGCTTTT